GAACGAGATTACAAGGGGAAAATTAATATGAAATTACAAAAAGAAAAGTTAAGGCATTAGATGTCTTAATTACAAATCACCCCAGACTGAACGAATCATTTCCCTAAGTCTCCCCCAATTCTCGCTCTGCTGAGAAAAAATGACATTCAACTCAGCCACAAAATCATCATCAACCTCTAGCTTTTTGTACTGCTCAACCAAAGACTTGGTTCGCTCAATTCCTTGGGAGGCATTGCGTTTTTTGGCAGTCATTCTCACCTTATAGTCGTCCATCTTTGCTTGAAACTCTTTCATCTGTGCAGCCAAATTGGTCATCAAAGAGTCTTCAATCATGACTTCAGAAGAGATTTCTTTCAATTCGTCCTCAGCTTTGTTGATCTCCAGAAGCAAAGATTCTCTTTTAGTTACAGCGCGAAGATATTGAGTACTTTTGGCCTTCAGTTCAACATTTTTGGCCAGCAAGGAGAGAACCTCGAAATGAACAACTTTCAACGTCACTTTAAAATCAGCAGAAAGATTAAGCGACGGAAGTGTCAATGCTTGCTCCAATTTCACATTCAAATGCTCAAGCTTATCCTTATGTTTGGCAGCACTAGCCTGACCGATGTCCATATCTATAAAGGACACATACTCAAATATCGACTGCTTGAGGAATTTCATATCTTCCTCTGAAGAAGCAGAAGGACGACTAGTTGAAGTAAGGCGAGACGTCTTGATTTGCCCCCAGGAAGTGAACAAGTCCTGGATGAAACGCACAATCTTATCAGCATCCTGCAAAAAAAGTTGCCAACATTGAAGGTTTTCACTACAATGAACAAAGTGGAAGTAAAAGTGGAGCAAAGGTTACCTCATCAGCAATCTTGAGAGGTGGCATATCCCCAGCCAAATCTACCACCTATGGCTCTACCACTTGTGAAGACGTCCTCTTATCTGAGCGAGAAGACTTTGCCACAACGGGCTAACCCATGGGAGCATCTGCAAAACTCAAAAGGAAACAAATCAAAAATCAATAGCACAAGCAAAGGTAAAACATCAAAAAATGTATTACCTTCTAGTTTAACGTTTGGGGGGTTGACACCCTGAGAAGAAGGTGGCTCATCCATTGGTTGTGATGAAGATTTTAGGACTGAAGGTGTCTCTTTAAGCGTAGTCTCTTCATCAGCTGGTTTGGATGAAGTAGCCTCAGCAGAAGGTGATGAAGCAGGAGCTGCCAACACCAAAGCCTTCGAAGGAGAGGCTGAGCTTTTCTGAGAAATCCGAATAAGCCATCAGCATATAGAAAAGTTCCAAGTATAGAAAGGTATGCTTGTGAGTAAACTAATTTAATTACCTTTCTCCTGACAATGAGAGAAGTGTCATCATCATCATCATCTTCCAAAATGGGAGATGCTGAAGCTGGCCGTTTGCGGCTTGGGACACTCTTAGCTGCAGTAGGTTTGGCAAAAAGAGAAGTAGATGGATGAACAGACTGTTTAGCACGAACAGAAGAGGAGGGACTCCTAATAGACACAGGGGTGACCAAAACAGGAGAAGTGGAAGAAATGTCCGGCTGATCCAGTGAATGGAAAGCGCGATTGACATCAGTTGCAAACAATTTGCGCTGCACTGATGGCCATAGTTATTCAAAAAGAGGATGGATGGCATGGCAAGGATTGAAGGGGGCTAATGAAAAATTACTCATCAAAAGAAGATTGCGAGCATTTATAGCTTCTGCCTCTGCTTTATTAATAGTGTGGAAGTGATCTATCAAATTTCTAGAATAACAAGGAGGAACAGGCCAAATTTGGCCAAAACCAAGTTGACGAGCAAAAAATTGAGGAGCATACATTTCAACCCCAACTTTAGCATTGGTTCCAGTCAAAATATCATGGAGCAACTCCCTCCCGGTCAAAAACTGAATCCAAACGAGCAAAGAGGTGCTCGCGTTGTCCAGAGTGGATGGATGTTGCACATAATTTGGAGTTAAAAATGGAGGAAAAGGAAAGAAAGAAGGAAATGAATTCAAAGTATAAAAGAATGAAAAAAATGTCCCTTTTGGACATATTTACAGGGCTCGATGGGCTAATAGTTAGCCCATAGCAGCTAGCAGAAGGAAGGGAAAAGGATAGAGCACCAAGTAAGGGAAAATAGGTTCTCAACCACATTTGAGTGAACCAAAGAGGCCAACTACCAGTGGGAGACGCACCATTCTTCAATTGGAATTGGAGAGAAGCCATGCCTCTATAGAGGGCAGCCAAAAAGAAAGAACACAAATTCAAGGGCCTACCACGCGCCAATTCGTGCGCTATAGGTAAATAGCTCATAGAAGGCTTTATGCTTGGCACACACAGAACATATTTACAAAGCCAAATCTGAATAAAGGCCACATGCTCAGCATGGGAAGGCTCAGCGCTTAAGTGATTATAACAGCTTTGTAGGTTTGTATAGGACTTGGTGAGTTTTCTGTCAAATTTTGGGACGACGCCATAAATCAAAATACCAGGACAAATGGTATCGCCCAAAGGTGGCAAATTTACTAAGGCCCCAACATCCCTTAAAGTAATGGACATGGGACCAAGAGGGAAAACAAAAGTATTATACTCAGAGGACCAAAAACTTAATGCAATAGAGAAAAGCGCTGAATCAAAAATAGGGGGTTGAAGAGAGATTTCTAACAAATCAAAAATCCTAGCACTATCAAAAATTGCCTTGGTAGGACCATGGTCTACAAGGCGAGCATGCCATTTACGAAAAACGACATCAGATTTAGGCTAAATACGAATACCTCTTTCTCGAAGCGGCCTCAGCGGCAAAGAGTTTAGAAACGGAGGGCCTTAGGTACAAGGGAACAGCTGGCCCACCGCCACTTGTTCGACTTCCTCGGCGTCATTAAATGAAGGACCTAGATAGAACTCATTGAGTTCGGCATTGGCTGGTGCGAGGAAGTTCGGAGTTATATATGATCGAGTGAGGAGTTTCTGGAAGTCTTCGAAACTGAAAGAGTCACTAGGTTGGGATTGTGAAGCAGCCATTAGGAACGAAATAAAGTTTTGTTGAAGTTTGCTCGAGAAACGTAGTAGGGAAGCAAGAAGTTGAGCAGTAATATTGCGAGAGAGAAGCGCGAAGCAATGAGGCGTGATTTAGTAGTGCGATGAAGTGGCTTGTATTTTGGGGGTTATAAGGGTTTGCAACGTCGCACCTTTTCAGGCTATGGAAGAAAATAATGATTGAAATTCTTGAGAATTTCAAATGTTGTTGGGAAACACAAAGTGAATAGGCAAAAATTAATAATTAGTACTAATTCTGCCATAGTGGGGGGTAATTGTTGACATGCTAAAAGTGCAGCCCAATTCAAATAGCCCAAAGAATGAAGCTCAACTGGGTAATTTAGGATAAAGGCCCAAATAGGGTTATTAGTGAATGCGGTGGAAGCCCACAAACGCGGTAACACCATCCCCTAATTTTACAAGACGCCCAAGATCTGAGCAAATGAAGTGCCTTGCAGTCGCCCAGAGTTATGACCATGTTCTCGCCCAAACTTTCGAATCGCCCAGGATTTTAACAAACATGAGATGTTATGGTTATCCAGAAGTGCAATTATCGAAGCAGTTATTGGGTAATCTTATCACGTTCCACGATTCAAGGATGTTCAGTTGAGGACGATTGAACGACAAAGAGTAATGACAGCAGTTGGAGACGACAATTTCATGATAAGTTGGCCACCATAAAAAAAGTTGACAGTTATAAAGCAATTAAGCGGTTTCTAAGAGGTTGATCACAAAGAGAGCATCAAAGGAATATAAAAGAAAGAAAAGACATAGAGCAAAGGACCCCGAATCAAAAACTCTCAAACAGAGAATATGTAATTTCAATTTCTTAGTTTAGACTTAAAACATTTTTTTTCAGTACTCGTGTGCTTGCGCCCCTTGGAGGCATTTCTGTTTAAGTTTCAATTGTAAAGTCACTGCCTAGACTTTGTCTCAAGAGGTTTGTCCCTTATACAATCGTCTGATCCCTTTTTAATTGTTAGCGACTACCCACGCGAAACAATAATCTATTGAATATTTGACACAATTGACACGAACAACATATTAGAAGGCTAGATCTTCACCAAATTGGTTCACGATATCGGATTATCATTATAATTAATTTAAACTCAAGAATTTCATGTCATGAATTATAATGTCAATTTTAACCAAAGAAAAAGAAACAGGGAATTGGGCGATTGGGCCACAGGCCATATCACTAGACTAGAACCCCGCTCCAATCTTTATATTGGTCTTTTGCCAATACACCCTTTTCCCTAAACGCTATTCAATTCCACTACCGAGGGTAAACAAGTCTTTCAAGAAAGCAGATAATATCAACGGATTTTAATTTCACTGATGGTCAGTGAAGTTCAAGAAAAATTTCAAATATGTCATTAAGTATTTTTGTGACCTATTTAGTTATTAAAGTAAACTAGTATTACATTTAGTCTCCATTAGCTTTATTATACGATATCCAGTGTATAAGCGATTATAATTTAATCATCTCTGGTTAAACATATTTTTGTTACCACATTTTTTAAGAGTTACAATTACTATTAATGTATTATCTAAACATTTAGGTGGATTCATAATATATAATCACTTAAATTTTATTTTAATCACTTATCAAACATGCACTACCAATAAAAAACTTTCTAGTAACGGGCACTAAAGCGATCAATTCCTCCTTGCTAACATCAACGATGAATAGTAGTGTAGGGCGAAATAGAGTAGTTTCAATTTTCCTTTCTTGAAATTGAAGTTTTTCCTCTTAAAATCGAGTTTATATTTTGAAGATATGAAATTTCGCGACACTCACACAAAAATCGTTAGCCGATGTGTCTGTTTAACATGTCGATCTTGTCAACGTTGCAAATAGAGTAATCAATTATGCATTATTTTACAAAAGTAATTTAATGACAAATTTGGAATTTCGTTCGAATTCTGATGACCATTTATAAAATAAACTCCCTAATGATATATATCGTCGCTGATTGGCCGTTACACGCTGCAAATCTCATCCTCTTCTAGACAGTACGAAAACTACAGGATAAAGAGAGAAATAGTCCAAACCCTCTCTCTCAAAAACGCTCACATTCATGTTCATAAAAATAACCCGTTCGTGTTCGTATATAGGTGTATGTAATCGGGATGTCTATGGAGACTCGTGAATTTTCGCATCAATATGCAGAAACAATCCACGAAGAATCCGATACGCTTTTTCAGAAAAATCGCTGTTGTTTCTCCTTACCGTGCTTAGGTAACTCCTCGCCGGACGGCGAAGGAATAACCTGGTGGAAAATCCGAACGCAGAACATTGGAAACATTTCCTTGTGGATCCGGGGAGTCACCGCGGTGAAGAAGATTCGCGAGTGGTCGGAACTCATCGCCGGTCCGAGATGGAAGACTTTTATACGGCGGTTCAACCGGAACCGGAGCGGGAATAGCAAGCATGTGAATCACCAATACGATCCACTGAGTTACGCGATGAATTTCGACGAGGGGCCGGGGCAGAGCGGTAATTCTGAGGAAGAGGACGGGTATTATCATATGTCAAGGAATTTCTCGTCCAGGTACGCCGCCTTCCCGGCTTCCTCTAAAACTTCTAGGGACCTCGACAAGGATTCGCCGTCTACCTTCGTTTAACCTTCGCCGGCGAGGCGAAGTGGGAGAGGTGAAGCTTAGCGGGGCATTCAATTATTGTTAATTACAGCTCATCATTAATGCAACTATTTGTAAATTATTATTTTATTTTACTTTTTGTTTGAGTGTATCTATACCTCGTAGTTGTTGCTGTTGTTATTAATTTTTTTTTTTTTTTTAAATATTTTAGTTAGATGGTGTATGTATAGGTGATAGCGTGTAAGCCTGTTAGGTTTTAAATTTTAATTTATTATTTCGTGTTGGAGGAATAAAGTATATTATCTTAGTTCCAGTTTATTGAGCTTAAAAGTGATAATGTACTTGACCAGTCCAACTGTAGTAATCTCCAAGTTGTGGAGATTTAGCCCCTATTTGAGTCCTATTTTTCAAAAAAAAAAAAAAAAAGAGTTTTGTAATAGTAATTTTTGGATAATTTAAAAAGTGAGATAAATTTTGGGTTTACATACAAATTATTTTATTAACCATAGCCAAGTAATTCTTATGTTAGATTCATGAATCCTAATTGTCTCTTTAATGCTCTTCTCACCACAAACAGGTTATATAATTGCATTAGAAAAATTCGGCACGTAATCAACTTAATGAATACTTAAAATAGTCACTTTCAGCACGTTGATTGTTGGTATAGTCAAAAAGGTAAATTACATTATTTTTAGCTCATTAACTTATTTTATTAATAATCGTGTCAATGTCAAGACTATCATTTCAAACTCTACGTGATTCATCATTTAGAGAATATTTTATTGTGCCTAAAAGATTCTTGTAAGTAACTGTTTTTTTTTTTTTTTTTTTTATCGATTATCTAATTTTTTAGTTTAAAAAACTTACACATTAAAAGTAAGTCATTATTTTAGGGGTTGTAATTGATAGTGAAATGGTTTTTATTTGAGATAATGGGTAATTAGAGAAAGATCAATCAGTACAATTTTCACAAAAGCTGACTAAAGACACTTGAAAGCTCAATTAGTGCTCTTAATAATATTTCAATAGATCATTCAAGTCTATACTTAATTAACGTTCTTAGAATGAATCTTACGACTAGAGATGTCCATTAAAAGCCTATTTTGGGTGATTTTTTCTTTTCAAAAATTGATTTTTAACCGTTATTTTCCTATTTCAGCCGTCATATTTGACTTCTTCTCTTACAGGTGGACCACACTTTTCTCTTAATTGTCAAAAAATCAATTTTCAAAATCACTCCCAAACAGACCCTAAGTTTATTGTTTTGACTGACTTAATTTCAAGCAAAATATTACCTAAAATCCAAGGAAAGCCCAAGAAATTTGCACTTCCATGAGAATAAGTTGGTTGATAAGTCGCATAATAATACCATGCTGATGCCAATTTCTGTTTATCACTGTTTCGCGCGGGTTCGTCGCTAACAATTAAAAGGGATCAGACGATTGTGTAAGGGACAAACCTCTTGAAACAAAGTCCTAAAAAGGGGTGTTCTTTTATTGGCGATGACTTTACAATTGGAAATTAAAAACAGAATGCCTCCAAGGGGCGCAAGCACACGAGTTACTGAAAGAAGTGTTTAAAGCTAAGCTAAGGAATTTAAAATTAAATGTTCTCTGTTCGAGAGTTTTTGATTCGGTTTCTTTGCTATATGTATTTTCTTCCTTTTATACTCCATGGATGATCTCTTTGTGATCAACTGCCTAAAAACTGCTTGATCGTTCTACAACTGCCCACTTTCTTCGTAATGGCCAATTTGTCATGAAATTGCCTTTTTTAACTGCTGTCATTACTCTTCGTCGTTCAACCGTTTTCGATTGAATTCCTTGAATCGTGGAACGTGATAGGACTGCTTTAATAACTGCTTTAATAACTGCACTTCTTGATAAACACAACACTTTATGTTTGCTAAGACTTTGGGCGACTTGAAGGTTTGGGCGAGAATAGAGTAACATCTCTGGACGACTGCATGGCACTCCATTCGTTCAGATTCTGGGCGACTTACAAACTTGGACGATGGTGTTACCGCGTTCTTGGGCCTTCCTATTTGGGCCTTCGTCTTGAATTGTTTGATTAGGCTTTGTTCTTTGGGCTATCTGATTTGGGGACCCTCCAATTGGGCTTCATTCCTTGGGCCGTTCGATTTGGGCTGAATTTTTATGTGTCAACAATTACCCCCCAATATGGCAGAATTAATACCAATTATTAAATTTTCCCATATTCACTTTGTGTTTCCAGCAACATTCGAAATTCCCAAGAATTTCAATCATTGTTTTCTTCCATAGCTTGAAAAGGTGCGACGTTTTGCAAACCCTTATAACCCCCAAACACGTCATTTCACTGCACCATTAAACCACGCCTCACTTTTTCGCGTCTCTTCCACGATTTACTGTTCATCTTTTGCTTCCCTGCTACGTAACTTTGAAAAAACTCCGTTTCATCCCTAATGGCTATTTCACAATCTCAAGCTGGCGACTCCTTTAGTTTTGATGACTTTCAGAAACTTCTCAGTCGTCCATACATAACTCCGAGTTTTCTCGCGCCCGCCAATGTCGAACTCAATGAGTTCTACCTAGGTCCTTTCTTCAACAATGTAGAGGCAGTCAAACAGGCGGCGGTGGGCCAGCTGTTTCCTTGTACTCAAGGCCCTCCATTTCTAAACTCTCTGCCGCTGGGGCCACTTCGCGAAAGAGGTATTCGCACTTGGCCTAAATCTGATGTAGTTTTCCGTAGGTGGCATGCTCGTCTTGTGAGTCATGGTCCTACTAAGGCACTTTTTGATAATGCTAGGATTTCTGATTTGTTAGAAATCTCTATTCAACCCCCTACTTTTGATTTAGCACTTTTTTTGATCGCTTTGAGTTTTTGGTCTTCCGAGTATAATACCTTTATTTTCCTTCTTGGCCCCATGTCTATTACTTTAAGGGATGTTGGGGCCCTAGTGAATCTACCACCTTTGGGCGATACCATTTTTCCTGGTATCTTGGTTTCTAGTGGCACCCCAAAGTTTGGTAAAAACTACACCGAGTCTTATTCAATCCTGCAAACCTTTCATAATCATTCGAGCGCTGAGCCTTCCCATACTGAGCGAGTGGCCTTTCTTCTGGTTTGGCTTTGTAAATATGTTTTGTGTGTGCCAAGCATAAAGCCCTTCCTTAGTTATTTACCCATAGCGCACGAATTAGAGCGTGACAGGCCTTTGAATTTATGTTCTTTCTTTTTGGCTGCTCTTTATAGAGGCATGGCTTCTCTTCAAACTCAATTGAAGAATGATGCATCTTCTATTGGTAGTGGACCTCTTTGGTTCACTCAACTGTGGTTGAGATCCTATTTTCCATTGTTTGGTACTCCATCAATTTCTCGTTCCTCTGCTAGCTGCTATGGGCTAGCCATTGAGCCCTTGGCTCTTGTAAATATGTCTAGAATGGACTTTTTTCATTCTTTTATTCTTTGAATTCAATCCCTTCCTTCTTTCCTTTTCCTCCTTTTTTGACTCCAAACTATGTGCATCCCCCCTCCACTATAGACAGCGCGAGCACCTCTCTGCTCATTTGGATCCAGTTTTTAATCGGGAGGGAGTTATTTCATGATATTTTAACTGGGACCAATGCCAAGGCAGGGGTAGAAATTTATGCTCCCCAATTTTTTTGCTCGCCAACTTGGTTTCGGCCAAACTTGGCCTGTTCCTCCTTGCTATTCGAGGAACTTGATTGACAGCTTTCATATTATTAATAAGGCGGAGGCAGAGGCTATAAATGCTCGCAATCTTCTTTTAACAAGCTATTTTTCATTAGCCCCCTTCAATTCTAGCCACGCCATCCATCCTCTTTTTGAACAGCTCTGGCCGTCGGTGAAGCGCAGATTGTTTGCGACTGATGCCAATCGTGCCTTTCATTCACTGGACCAGCCGAGCATTTCTTCCCCTCCTCCTGTTTTAGTCACTCCTTTGTCCATTCGGAGTCCTTCTCCTCCTCGTCGCGCTAAACAGTCTGCTTGTCCATCTTCTTCTCTCCCTGCCAAGCCTACTACAGCCAAGAGTGCCCCAAGCCGCAAACGGTCAGCCTCAACATCTCCCATTCTGGAGGATGATGTTGATGATGATGATGATGATGATGATGATACACCTCTTATCATCAGGAGGAAGGTAATTAAATTGGTTTACTCACAAGCATACTTTTCCATACTTGAAACTTTTCTGTGTGCTGATGATTTATTTGAACTTCTCAGAAAAGTTCAGCATCTCCTTTAAAGGCTTTGACATCAGTAGCTCCTGCTCCATCATCTTCCGCTGAGGCTGCTTCATCCAAATCGGTTGATGAGGGGACTACGCTTAAAGAGACATCTTCAGTCCCAGAATCCTCATCACAACCCATGGATGAGCCACCTTCTTCCCAAGGCGTCAACCCCCCAAACATCGAAGCAGAAGGTAATTCAGTTTTTTGATGTTTTACCTTTGCTTGTGCTATTGGTTTCTGATTTGTTGCTTTTGAGTTCTGCAGATACTCCTATGAGTCTGCCCATTATGGCAACATCTTCTCGTTCAGACAAGGGGAAGTCCTCACGAATGGAGGAGTCGCAGGTGGCAGATTTGGCTGAGGATATGCCATCTTCCACGATTGTTGATGAGGTAATCTTTGCTTCACTTTTATTTTCATCTTGTTCGTTGTAGTGAGAATCTTCAACATTGGCAATTTTCTTTGCAGGATGCTGACAAGATTGTGCGTTCTATCCAAGACTTGTTCGCTTCCTGGGGGCAAATCAAGACATCTCGCCCTGCTCCATCTGATCGTCCTGCTGCTTTTTCAGAGGAAGATTTGAAGTTCCTCAAGCAGTTGATATTTGAGTACGTGTCCTTCATGGATATGGACATTGGTAGGGCTAGTGCTGCCAGACACAAGAATAAACTTGAGCATTTGAATGCGAAGTTGGAGCAAGCACTGACACTTCCGTCGCTCAATCTTTCTGCCGATTTTAAAGCGACGTTGAAAGTTATCCACTCCGAGGTCCTTTCTTTGCTGGCCAAGAATGCTGAACTAAAGGCCAAAAGTACTCAATATCTTCGCGCCGTATCTGAAAAAGAGTCTTTGCGTCTGGAGATCAACAAGGCTGAGGATGAGTTGAAAGAAATCTCTTCCGAAGTCATGATTGAAGACTCTTTGATGGTTAGTTTGTCTGCTCAGATGAAGGAACTTCAAGCCAAAATAGACGACTGCAAGGCGAGAATGTCTGTTAAAAAACATAACGCCTCCTAGGGAATTGAGCGAACTAAGTCCTTGGTTGAGCAGTACAAGAAGTTGGAAGTTGATGATAATGTTGTGG